AAGCAGGTGGTGGTGATGATGATGGCGATGGTGATGATGATGACGATGGTGATGGTGATGATGATGATGGTCATGATTCATTCGCTTGTTTGCTCATCCGTCTATTCTTTTTTTTGATTCATCCATCAATTCACCATTCATTCACTCACTCATTCATCCAACCAACCAACCAACTGACCGACCAATCAGGCGTCGACGAACGACTTCAAGGCCTACCAATCACAGGTCTTGAAAAATAGCAAAGCGATGGCCAATGCCCTACTGCAAAAAGGATGCACCCTTGTTTCCGGTTATGATGATGATGTTTCCCTGGTGGTGGTGGTGCGCTGCTGCTGATGATGATAACGACTGTAGAGTTGATGATGACGATAAAGAACAAATTGAAAATTAAATTTTCGTAGCGCTCTAATCTCTCGTAAGAGTACTTGCAAATTTTTAAACTACCTTGCTTGCTTGCTTTCCAGCCTGGTTGACTTGACACAGAGTCAAGCAGTATTATATTGTTTAATGGTGATTATCATGATGCTGATGATGATGATGACGATGATGAAGGAGGAGGAATATTTATAACAATGTCAAAAATTTAGTATACAATTATGACGATGATGACGACGATGATGACGTAATCAGGTGGTACAGACAACCACTTGGTACTCTGGGACTTGCGAACTATGCACCTAGATGGGGCACGCATGGAGTGGATTTGCGACATGTGTAACATCACGGTCAATAAGAACACGTGTCCTGGAGATAAGAGTGCACTCAATCCAGGTGGCTTAAGATTAGGTAGGTTGGTTGGTTGGTTGGATGGATGACTGGTTGGTTGGAAGGCTGGTTGGTTGGTTGGCTGGTTGGCTGGATAGTTGGTTGGTTGGTTGGGTAGATGACTGGTTGGTTGATTGGATGGCTGGTTGGTAGGTAGGTTTGTTGGTTGGTCGGTTGGCTGGTTGGTTGGTTGGCTCATCATCATCATCGTCATCGTCACAGGCGCGGCTGCACTAACTTCCAGATCGTTTCGGGAAGAGGATTTTGTAAAAGTTGTTGAGTTTCTTGAAAGAGCGGCCCAAATTGCTCTCAGGGTCAAAGATCAAACAAGTTGTTATTGTTGTAGATGTTGTTGTTGTTGTGGTCGTTGTTGATGTTGTTGATGTTGTTGTTTTGTTGTTGTTGATGTTGTTGTTGATGTTGTTGTTTATGTTGATGTTATAGTCATCATCATCATCATCGTAAACAGAAACTTTGAAAGAATTCCGAGATTACTTAAGCGCTAATGACGACAACAACAACAACAACAACAATAATCGTCATCAAATTCTAACGGAAGTCAAGAAACTGAAAAGTGAAATCGAAACTTTCTCCTCGGGATTTCCCATGCCCGGACTTGATGACCGATGATGATGATGATGATACTGATGTTACTGATAAGGATGACGACGATGATGATGACGACGACGACGATGATGATAATGATCTATAAATTATACAGTATTCCGTACATTCAGTCACTCGTTTAAAAAAATGTTCATTCTTTTTCGTTCTCTATGTTTATTTGTTCATTTCATTCTCTTTGTTTATTTGCAACAACGGTGATTATGATAATGATATTTAATATTCATGATGACGTAATAACGTTACGTAATATATATATATATATATATATATATATATATATATATATATATATATATATATATATATATACGTTTTATTGGTTTTTCTCTATATAAAATAATCCTGACATATTTTAGGTAGAAATCAATGAGTTTAATCACATTAAAGCTGTAATCGTGTGAGTGTGTGTGCGTGCGTGTGTGTGTATGTGTACGTCTGTCTGTGTGTGTGTGTGTCTGTGTGTGTCTTTGTGTGCCTTGTGTTATATCATGTTATAAAATGTATCGTATCGTATCTTTTTCGTTTTGTTATGAAAATGATAAAGTTATTTGAAAGATCGTCGGTACTGTA